CACACACACCACTTGCAACACACACACACATCACTTGCAACACACACACACATCACTTACAACACATACACACACATCACTTGCAACACACACACACACACACACATCACTTGCAACACACACATACACACACACATCACTTGCAACACACACACACATACAGACTCACTTGCAACACACACACACACACACACTTCACTTGCAACACACACACACACACACACACACACACACATCACTTGCAACACACACACATACACATCGCTTGCAATACACACACACACAAATCACTTACAACATAACACACACTCATCACTTACAACACACACACACATGCACGCACATATCACTTGCAGGGACGATCCAACAAGTATGCGGACTAGGCTGCTGATTCGCATGCCCACACCAGCTGACTTCAGTTTCAGTGGCACTGTGTGTTCGTACGGCTACTTCTGTCTGCCACCACAGGTGTGTTGCTACACGTGGTCTCTGCTGTACTTCTGACAGCTTTAGGGCTAGGGTTTTAGGGTTAAACTCAAACCCTAAAACCCTAAACCCTAAATCGGCTCTGTTGCACATCTGACATGGGCTATTCGCAAACTGTGTATGCTGGGTTGAGATAATCCTGGCACATGTTTGTTTTAGGGTTTGTAAGCTTAGTGACACATCTACATCTAATATGTATGCATGCATATTAGCAGTATCCATGACTAGCACTTATATTGCCTACTCATGTTCATTTGTTATGTCTGTCATCATGAGCATTTGTTTAGTTTATTTGTCATCATCAGCTTATTATTTTAGTCCATGGGGTTTTTTTTAAAACCCTATATCCATCGCGAGCACTTCTGCCCCGTACCCCTCACCATGCTGTTCCCTCCGTTGCCATGGTTACACAGAGTTGGATACCTTCCACCGATAAGGACAACGCCGATGGCGGAGTGTTTGAGCGTCCGCTGAGATATGGGTACAACTACAGCGAAACCGTTTACGTGCGCATAACATTGCTGAGGCAGAGAGTGGATGGGGTGGGTGAGTGAGTTGGTTGTGTTGTGTGGTGAGTGAGTTGGTTGTGTTGTGTGGTGAGTGAGTTGGTTGTGTTGTGTGGTGAGTGAGTTGGTTGTGTTGTGTGGTGAGTGAGTTGGTTGTGTTGTGTTGTGTGGTGAGTGAGTGAGTTGGTTGTGTGGTGAGTGAGTTGGTTATGTTGTGTGGTGAGTGAGCTGGTTGTGCTATGTTGTGTGGTGAGTGAGTTGGTTGTGTTGTGTGGTGAGTGAGTTGGCTGTGTGTATGTGGTTTAGAGTGTCTGTCGTTCATTTGAGTGTGTTGTTTTGCCCATTGATTAGGTCATGCATGGTTCCATGTGTTCGTATAGATCTGTGTGCGGTTTATAGTGTCTGTTGTTCATTTGAGTGTGTTGTTGTGTCTATTGATTAGGTCATGTATGGTTCCATGTGTTCGTATAGATCTGTATGTGGTTTAGAGTGTCTGTTGTTCATTTGAGTGTGTTGATCTATGTGTGGTTTAGTATAGATCTGTGTGTGGTTTAGAGTGTCTGTTGTTCATTTGAGTGTGTTGTTGTGTCTATTGATTAGGTCATGTATGGTTCCATGTGTTCGTATAGATCTGTATGTGGTTTAGAGTGGCTGCCCCTATGTCCGTTTTTTGTGTGTGACATATATGTTTAATATATATATTTGTCCGTATTTAAAAACGTATCTGAAACCCCCCCACGCTTGAGCCAAATGCGTTTAGTTTTACCAAAACGTACTCACGTGTCCCGTTTTATTTCAACCCCTCCGCCCACAGACCAACCAGCGCTGCAAGTGGAAGAAGTATTGCATGGCGTTAAACGCGACACACCTGTCGTATTCTCAACGTTAACACAGGGCCATTTGGCACAGATAGGAATGCAAGTCACTCGCATGTTCAGACTGGATGAGGACATCTCCGCATTCCATGCCATGCAGAATGAGGTAAGACGGTTTACCCACTACTACTACCATAAACCCTAGAAACCCTAGGTCAACTACCACAATGGTGTGTAATGGTTTGTGTGTTTGAAGGATGTCTATTGGGTCGTGTGCATATGTTATGGTAATGCAGTTATGTTGTGTTGCTGCTACAGCTATTACGAGTGTTAATGGTGTGTATTGGTTTGTTACTACAGCTATTACGAGTGTTAATGGTGTGTGGTAGTTTGTGTGTTTGTAGGTTGTCTGTTGGGTCGTGTGCATATGTTATGGCAATACAGTTGTGCTGTGTTGCTGCTACAGCTATAACGAGTGTCAATGGTGTGTAATGGTTTGTTACTACAGCTATTACGAGTGTTAATGGTGTGTAGTGGTTTGTGTGTTTGTAGGTTGTCTGTTGGGCCGTGTGCATATGTTATGGTAATGCAGTTATGCTGTGTTGCTGCTACAGCTATTGCGAGTGTTTTGCACAGTCACTCAGTCGTCCCATGAACCACCGCACAACTAAAACCTTAAACCCTAAAACACAATTCCTTTGTGACCTCTAACGTACCCACTGCCACATATGTCAAGTCACTACACGCACATTACTGCCCTCTATCGTGACATGGATGGTCTGTCATGTCTGTATCACACATTTAACGTATGTTTTCTGTGTTGTCTGTATCACACGTTTTAACGTATGTTTTCTGTGTTGTCTGTATCACACGGTTTAACGTATGTGTTCTGTGATGTCTGTATCAGACATTTTAACGTATGTGTTCTGTGATGTCTGTATCACACGTTTTAACGTGTGTGTTCTGTGATGATATGTATCCCACGTCTTAACTTCTATGCTCATGTCACTGGTCATATCTGTGCAGGCTAAAGAGAGAGGCTTTGGCCGTCTGTATCGATCGCCGTCTACGTTTGAGGATATGATCAAATCAATCACCAACTCCAACATGACATGGGCTGGCACAGTGCGCATGTGTGCGCTGCTGTGCTTCCATTACGGTACGTCTGGGGTTTTTTGGGGTTTATAATCTTAACCTAAATCCCTAAAACCCTAAAACTCTGAAACTCTGAAACCATAAACCTCTAAAACATACTACCCCACACTTTAAAACCCTAATACTCTGAAAGGTATTTCACACATTGTTGTATAGCGCGTTGTGGTAGCTTACCTCAGAGTCACGCGCTTCCAATGTCCATCAATGGTCTGCCACGTTGTCAGAAATATGATGATTAGATAGATTAAACTTAATATGATGGTCATATAAATTAAACCTAATGTGATGATTAGATAGATTAAACTTAATATGATGGTCACATAGATTAAACCTAATATGATGATTAGACAGATTAAACCTAATATGATGGTTAGATAGATTAAACCTAATATGATGGTTAGATAGATTAAACTTAATATGATGGTCACATAGGTTATTGGTAGGCACATGATCAGATAGATTAAACCTAATATGATGATTAGATAGATCAAACCTAATATGATGATTAGATAGATTGTACTTAATATGATGATTAGATAGATTTAACCTAATATGATGATTAGATAGATTAAACCTAATATGATGATTAGATAGGCTAAACGTAATATGATGATCAGATAAGTTATACCTAATATGATGATTAGATAGGTTAAACCTAATATGATGATCAGATAGATTAAACCTAAAAAGAACAGTTTTTGGTTGTGCTGTCAATCGTAGCCTATGCTCAGACGAATGTCTTTCGAGCAGTTGACGAAACAGTGTATATGATGCAGATGACATGAGCAAGTGGCTATAGCATTCTTCTCATGGCATGTGTTGTATGCATTACATGCGTGTTGTGTTGTGTAGGTAATAATATGGCTAATGTACTCATCTTTTACACGTGTTGTATGTATTACATGCGTGTTGTGTTGTGTAGGTAATCATATGACTAATATACTCGCCTCTTACACGTGTTGTATGTATTCCTTGCGTGTTGTGTTGTGTAGGTAATCATATGGCTAATGTACTCATCTCTCACACGTATTGTATGTATTCCTTGCGTGCTGTGTAGGTAAGCGGGGGGCCTTTCCCACGCCGCAGGAGATGCCCACAAGTGCGGATGAGCTGAAGACAAAGTGTAAAGTGGGCTACAGAGGTGACCGCATGCTGCAAGTGGCAGCTCTCTTTCTCACTCCACCCGAAGACTTAAGTGGTACTGTTGCGTGTTGTTGTGCGTGTGCACGTTAACGTATGTTCGAGTGGACGGTGTATGTAGTGTGTATGTGTCTGTTTAAGGTTCTATAACGTACGGTCGAGTGGACGGTGTATATAGTGTGTGTGTGTCTGTTTAGGGGTTTGTAAACCCTGTGTTTAGATGTGTGCGTCTGTTTACCTTTGGCTGTGCTGTGTATAAATGTGTGTGTCTCTGTACAGCTGTGACGATACGTTATGCTGGCAACCCATCCTCGTACTAAAGACTAGAAACGAAAGATCCGTTGTTGGTAATATACTTGTAACTTAACATCTGCTCTAAATCCATCTATTTATATCCATCTATTTATATCCATTTATTTATATCCATCTATTTATATATCTATTTTATATCCATATATTTATATCCAACTATTTATATCCATCTATTTATATCCATCTATATATATCCATCGATTTATATACATCGATTTATATGAATCTATTTATATGCGATTCATATCCATCTATTTATATCCATCTACTTATATCCATCTATTTATATCCATCTATTTATATGCTTCTCTTTATATCCCATCTATTAACATATATATATTTATATCCATGTATTCATATCCATCTATTTATATGCATCTATCCATATGCATTTATTTATATCCATCCATTCATATCCATCTATTTATATGCATCTATCCATATCCATCTATATATATCCATCCATTTATATCCATCTATTTATATCCATCTATTTATATCCATCTAATTATATCCATCCATTATATCCATCCATATATATCGATCTATGTATATCCATGTATTTATATCCATATATTTGTATGCACCTATTCATATCCATGTATTTATATCCATGTATTTATATCCATCCATTTATATCCATCCATTTATATCCATCTATTTATATCCATCTAATTATATCCATCCGTTTATATCCGTCTATTTATATCCATCTATTTATATCCGTCTATTTATATCCCTATATTTATAGCCTTTGACAACACGGGTGAGGCCGATATGAAAACGCTGCCGACACCAGATCCTCTGAGCACCCCAACGAAACAAAAAGCCGCTGCGAAGCGTGCACGAAAAACCCAAGAAAAATTAGAGAAGCGCAGGAAAAACCTGGTTTTAGTCAAGCGCCTGGTGCAGGCTGACAACCCGCGGCTGGTGGTGGGTGATTCACAGTTGGTGTTTGCGCTGATTAAGTCGCTGCACGGCTTTGGGGACTTTGCTGCGTCCAATGTCATGCAACTCATGGGCTACTACGACCACCTGGCAGCCGACTCAGAGACGGTGAGGGGGTGGGCAGAGCAATGGAAGGGGTTGTCTGGGGATGAGTGGGTGGTTATTGGGGGGTGGGCATGTCAGAGGTGGTCTATTGATGAGTGAGGGATTGTCGGTGGTAATCTACGGATTCGTTTGTGGTTAATTGTTGTAAACATGTATGTGTACGTGTGGGGTGGTGGTACTTCCACACACTTTTATCTGAGTCTGTACTTATAAGTACTAGAATGTATTGCAGCCCAGAGGTCTCTCCAAAGGTTCAGTAGATATGCGTAGTCATTCAGCCGATCAGAGAAATTGCATCTTCTGACATCTGGCAACGTCGTTGTGGTTGTTGTTGTGTGTGTTAACTGTAGTTGTAGAGGTAGTTGCTATAGCCTGTGAGGTGTGTGTCTGTGAGCGCTAGTTGCATTGACTTGATGAGTATATAAGTATGAATGGATGTGTATTTATGTATGAATGGATGTGTATATAAGTATGAATGAATGTGTGTATAAGTATGAATGGATGAGTATACAAGTATGAATGGATATGTATATAAGTATGAATGTATGTGTATATAAGTATGGATGGATGTGTATATAAGTATGAATGGATGTGTATATAATGAATGGATGTGTATATAAGTATGAATGGATGTGTATATAAGTATGAATGGATGTGTATATAAGTATGAATGGATGCGCCCTACTACAAGCGTGTGCGTGCTGTGACTAGTTAAGGAGATACCAGGGAGGAATGTATTTATGGATATGGTTAAAACATATATATTTTTGCAACATGTGTATTTGTCCTACTTGTTTCTTTTCATTTCTATTTTATAACAAGCAGATATAGTTTTACAACGTGTGTATTTGTCCTACTTGTTTCGTATTATTGCTATCTAATAATAAGCAGATATAGTTTTACAACGTGTGTATTTGTCCTACTTGTTTCGTATTATTGCTATCCAATAACAAGCAGATGTAGTGGCTGCAACATGTACTTGC